CGTCTCTGAGTCAGAATCCCTACGGTAGAGGGGTGGGGATGATCGGTCATCCTCATCCGGGGTATCAGTTAGGCCAGCCTCAGTGTCAGTGTGAGGAACAGAGATAGGCCCGTCATTGTCACTCAAGGGAAAGGAGAGCAGACTGGAAGAACGGGACAAACGAGAAAGGCGTTGATGAGCTGGCAAAAAACCAGGTCAGTACACCGCAATTTAAACACAACCAAACATATGACGTACTTTTTCTCGCTACCGACTCATCCTCTGAACCTTCTGCCTCACTTTGAGACATAATCTGAGGGGCCTGAAGAAATACAAATGATTCAAATGAATTCAAGAAGCATTCTAAATATTCACTAACCTCCTCATCACAAAAACGAGCTGCATCATTATCACCAGTTCTGTCGTCTTCAGACTGCTCACTGGCGGATTCATTATCATCTGAATCTGTAGGTTCATCCTCCAGAACCTCCTTTCTAGCAGCTTTTTTCTTTTTGGTAAGTGGTTCGACGTTACCTGAAAAAATTCATCAACAATAGTTCTATGCTCTGACAAAAAAAATGAAATGAATACATACCAATAGGGGCCGATTTACGTTTCACCGACTTAGAAGTCTGATTTTTGATTGAACTGCGTGTAGAGAGAGTAGCGGAGGCAACAGCAGTACCCTTGGTCTTGGCCTTGGCCATTATTCGAGAGAGATAGTAAAGTGCGAGTAGAAAAAGAGATCGAAGGAAAAAATGGAATGAGAGATGCATACATAGTGAGCCCTTTTATATCTTTTCCAGAGCATTTTCTAACTCAGCTCTATATTTTTCTTTTTTTTTACGATCATCTGCTGACATTGGCCCTAGAATATGGAGCTCATCGAGATTAATAGCTTAATAGCCATGTGTACATTTAGCGAATGCTTTAGATGCATTTAATTGCGTGCATGTTCGACTCATCCTCATTCTGTACACTACTACCATGTCATCTAGCTCTACTTGGACGTGCACTGGATGTAATCGCAGCTGGAACCGATCCAGTGATCTAGCACAACATTTTACTCGAACTAACAATTCTTTATGCAAATCTGCTGCTGACACGGTCGCTCAAGCATTCCAACACAGCTGACTGGCTCCCCGCCGTGATAACCCAACTCGATGACAAACACGATCACCTCCACTACACAGTAATCACCCTTCATCTCAGACTACAAATAATGGAGATCCGGATGAACCAACAGCATCCGATATTTTTCAGGGCGACTTTTTTGGCGATGATTATATTGCAACGGATTTTCCTGGGTTTGAAGAAGACGAAAACGACAAGGATCATGATGATGAGCATGAACACGATGGAAATGGAGAGGCACTAGAGTTGGAAAGAGTTTGGGAACCCGTCCGGCCTATCCAATCTGCTGGTAATACTGATGATAGTATGGTGGTGGACAACGACGATAATTTCGAAGATACAATCCCAAAGCCAAAGGAATCTCCACTACGCTCACTTCCTGCACACCGCGAGGATATCTATATCAAATCATTTGGTGGCCAGGCTGGATTACCACTACCTGATTCCGACCCAATTCAACTGATGCACGACTCTTCTGATGGCTTCCGTCGCTACCAGTCCAATATTCCAGGTAGTGACACAAACATCTGGGCGCCTTTCAATTCGCGGATGGATTGGGAAGTAGCGCAATGGGCCAAGATGCGACATACAGGGTCAACAGCTTTCTCTGACTTACTTCAAATTGACGGCGTAAGTTCTAATTATTCCCATTCTAATTTGATTACCATCATTCTAATATAATAAGTCCAGGTTCACGATGCTCTGGGTTTGTCCTATCGGAACAGCGATGAGCTCAATAAAATTATTGATCAGGAAATCCCTATCCAGCGACCTTGCTTCACCCGCACAGAAGTTGTAGTTGCTGGTGAAGCTTTTGACCTTTATAAACGGGATATACTAGAGTGCATACGTGCTCTCTACAGCTCTCCTGAGCATGCACAGTATCTTTGTGTTGTCCCTGAGCGCCATTATTCTGATGCCAATATGACCTGTCGTTTATATCATGATATTCACACTGGCAAATGGTGGTGGAATACGCAGGTATGTTTCACTTATTTCATAAATTGAATGTAATTAGAAATAACCCTTCAATTCAATAGAAAGCTGTTGAAGCAAAGAAACCAGGGGCTACTATTGTTCCAGTCATTCTCTCCAGCGACAAGACCCAAGTCACTTTGTTCAGAAACAAGTCGGCATATCCAGTATATCTTACTATTGGAAATTTGCCCAGGGAAATACGACGAAAGCCCTCACAGCAGGGCCAGATCTTACTTGGATATCTTCCTACGACCAAGCTTGAGCACATCAAAAACAAATCTTCACGTCGGAGAGTACTCGCAAATTTATTTCACGCTTGCATGAAACATCTCGTTTCACCGTTGAAGACAGCCGGAACCGAGGGTGTTACAATGCAGAGTGGTGATGGGATCAAGCGGCGATGTCATCCGATTCTTGCGGCTTATGTTGCAGATTACCCCGAGCAAGTCCTTGTTGCATGTGCATATTATGGTGACTGTGCCTCGTGTGAATGCCCCAAAGACGAGTTGGGTGTATATCCTTGCTGTCACAGTCGTCGTAACTTCGGGGCTGCAGTGAGGGCTGCAAAATTTCTTGGGACAGATCAGTGGGTCGAAAGTTGCCATGAAGAGAATATCAAGCCAATTCAACATCCATTTTGGGAGGACTTACCATACACCGACATCTTTCGATCAATTACACCTGATATCCTGCACCAGATGTATCAGGGTGTCATGAAGCATTTAATTGGTTGGCTCACAAAGATATGTGGAGCTGACGAAATTGATGCTCGTGTGCGTCGTTTGCCTCTAAACCATGGTATACGACATTTTCACAAAGGAATATCAAAGTTATCCAGAGTCACTGGCGGCGAACACAAGCAAATTTGTTCATTTCTGCTTGGGTTGGTGGTCGACACACCTTCACTATCACCGCAACAGTTAAAGAAGTTGATTGTTGCTACCCGTTCTTTGCTCGATTTTCTTTATCTGGCCTGCTATCCAATCCACACGGATCAATCACTTACTGCACTTGACGAAGTGTTGCAGGAGTTCCATGACAACAAGTCTATATTCGTCGATCTTGAAGTTCGAGAGAACTTTAACTTCCCCAAACTTCATTTCCTTTCCCATTACTCACGCGCCATTCAATATTTCGGAACTACCGACAATTACAGCACCGAGACAACAGAGCGACTCCATATTGATTTTGCCAAAGATGCTTATCGTGCTTCCAATCGGAAGGATGAGTATTCCCAGATGACCAAGTGGTTAGAAAGGCGAGAGAAGATTATGCATCATTTGAAGTATGTTCAGTGGCGCTATGCGCAACACACAAATCCTACACCCACAGACACCTCTGTATCAGCTGGGCAAGAACCTTCAGCTGGTCAGCGCATGGACTTTCCAGGCGCAAAAAGAACCCTGACAGATCTTAGATGCCTTTATTCCCAAAAAATTACCAAGAACCCTTCGGTAAAGGCCATTACTATCTCAAAATTAGAAGATGTTGGTGTGAATGGTTACCGTGCAACAAACTTCCGACTCTCTCTCTCACGATTCATTGCTCAATTCCGTGACCCAACTCTTTCAGCTCGAGAGGTCGAGGAGATGGCACAATTCATTGCACTTCCCTTTACCAGTGTCCCAGTTTGGCACCAAATCAAATTGGTAAACCCAGATCTTTATGGTGACACAACTTTGGATGTAGTCAAAGCTCAACCTCGACGGACAAATTCTCGGAACCAAGTGATACAAGCAGCGCGATTCGATACAGCTTTAATTCAGACAACGCCGCACAACCCTGAAAAGGGTAACTTGGATGGTAAGTAATATCAACGGCTCCATGAATCAGATATCAATCACAATTCACTAGGCATGCGTGTTGGGCGTATTCGTGTTATATTTTCAATTCCGGACAAGACAACAGATCGACTCTTTCCTTCAAATGTTTCACCACCTGCCCATCTTGCCTATATTGAATGGTTCACTAAATTTACGCATCTCCCGGATTCATCGTCTGGAATGTATCGTCTTAAACGGCAGCTGAATAGAGATGGAACACCTAGTTCCTCAGTTATACCCGTCTCAATGATCAAATGCAGTGTTCATTTGTTTCCCCGATGGGGCGGACCTGTACCGCCAGATTGGACTTGTGAAAATGTCCTCGATATGTGTCCAAACTTTTTCTTAAACCCTTTTCAGGATCTTCATACATACTGTAATTTGAACTAGATGAATATAAAATTGTTGATAGTATGCATTATTACGAAAAATTAGAGAGAATAAATCGACGTGCTTTGGAATAATTCATTAATTATGATAAATACTTGGCCTAGTTACATTTACAAGACTCTCATAAATTACTGGGATATTACCGATGCATTATCTTTGGGTGAGTTTCCTGATGTCATGTATCGGGCTATGAATATGTATGAAATGAATCGATGAACACATGGACGAGTCGCCAAATCGTGGAACCAAGAAAAGAAAAAGGGCTATAAAATGTAAAAAGATATCATTTTGCATTTTGTAGTTGCGGCACAAGAAATTGAAACCTGGGTGGCTGAGGTCGATGAGAGACAGTAATGTTAGCCACTACTCACACCGTGATGGAAGTGATAAAGGGCTACGAGATGTAACGAGCTTATGGTTTTTCAATGGATAAGTAGATAGATTGAGAAATGTGGTAGGTTGATAACTGGATTGCTATAAGGTGTTGGAATAGTAGGTGGATGTTAATACTATGGGAGATCATGACTGATCGGGACGCACCCTGTACTGAGTTTGTGATGAACACATCGAGATATGGCTCGAGTTGAATTGTAATGGCGTATATTCTATTCTTATGTTTTTTTATCATAATGGATGAACTGTTGTATAGAACAAATTGGAAGTTGGAAGTTGTAAAAAGCTGGAAAGACTTTTGTATTCCATCACAGGGAATCGAACCCTGGGCTATCGCGCTCACAATATTAACCTTATATGAGAGGCGATAATGTTAGCCACTACACCATGATGGAGTTGAATCACAGTACAGAAGCTTGACTATGATAGCAACTTATAATTAGGTAGATACAGGGCAGACGCTTGATCGATTGATCAGTTGATCAATGTCCTCCATGATCGGTGTGTAGCTCTAGCGGCTTTCTCTCTTTTATCAGGGTTGTTTGAGTCATTGTCGGCACTGTTTGTGCCGATGGTACTTACTATCATGAGATAGCACAGTGGAATGGATTATTATTTATTTCATAGTGCTGACTGGGTTCCTGTTGTTCTCGGATGAGAAAAAATTATTTTCAAACGTTTTGCGGTTAACCGATGAGAGGTCCTCATCGTGACCATGATCATGTGTATGATCGAATTTTAGTGTGTCCAGTGGCGTTCTATCTCAGTCTGTCCGTCAAGATGAACGAGTAAAAAATGATTAATGATGCATGGATAGGATTTGATTGATGGAGAGAGGTCCATGTATAAATACGTCGGAAAATATGTCTACCGAAAGCAGACTTGGACATATGCATAAAAAAGGCATCCATGCTTTTAGAGTAGAGACAAGACAGATGCTTTCATACTTATTCGGATCGGGAGGAAAAATGACACGGAACGGAGTTGCAAAATTATTTTGATCGCTCCAATTTTGTATTGATGACATCATTTGTACAGCTTTTTCTTGCTTACTTTTACTTGCTGACACCATCCGGAAACGGACGAGCCCCAACGGCTATTGAGTTTGCATTTTGACTTCCCCGTTAGAGTGTGCGCGCGCGCTTTTTCTTGAACAGGAAGCAACAACTCTGCTTTGTTCGTCGTCCTCCGACGCCACCGTCGTTGTCGCCGTGGTCATCGCCAGCGTCGCAAGTCGAGCAACAACACAGGCCTTTCTATTTCCGCGCTCGCTATTGCTCACGACGAGCACGCATACGATACGTGCATAACACGCTATACCGTTATACGCCGGGACATCCTCATTCATTCCTATTTCAACCACTCTAATCACCAGAAACAACATACAAAAGATACCAAAGTCCAGAAAAAACGCATAGAATACTACAAAGCTCCTGATGGTTCACCGTCCCTCCGACTCCCGCCTTCTCACTTCCCTCATCTCTCATGAAAAAGATTTACTCAAATCCCTCTCTACTCTTCTCTCCACCTCGCATGCTTCATACACGTCTCTCACCGCCTATGCCGCTTCCTCCCCACCACCTTCGTCTCAAGTCATCCTAGCCGTCGCCGGGACGCTTTTACACGCCGACGAAGCGCTCAAAGCTTACGCTAGAGGTGTAGAGGAATGGAAAACGAGATTAGAAGGACTGAAAGAGAAGGAAGAGGAAGTAGGGAACGTGGTTAGGGATAGAGAGATTCTAGTGACGAGAGTGTTGAAAGCGAGTGTGAAATCGGTGAAACAACATCAACAACATTCGAGTAAGGAGAAGGATGAAGGACTTGGGAGTATGAGCGTGATGGCTCCTGCATCGACTTCTTCGACTCTGTCGCTTTCTTCGTTGGGCTCGAATAACGCTGTTGTCCCCCTGTATGGCTCTACTGGTGGAAGTGGAACGGGGAGTAACAATAAACTACAGGCTGCACAAGCGGAATTGCAAGCTTGCGAAGCGCATTTGGCGATCAAGGAGGCTGAGTTGGAGAGGTTGAGAGTAGGTGCTGTCACTGATGGGTTGAGGGTTCGGTTTAGAGCTCTGGCGGAATGTGGGGCTAGGTGGGTAGAGGTGGGGAAAGAGGTCGAAGTGGTACTTGGGGTTTCTGGTTAGTGTTCCGCTTTTTCGTTCTTTTTTCTTTTTTTCCTTCTTATGGCTCAATATTTTCTCGCCTGTTCGTGGTTTCTGATACGGTTTTCTGTTTTTCATTCTCATTTTTAGACCATACCCGAACCACCTCCAGCCCCCGTCCATCCTCAGAAATATCACACACCACCATGTCTTCCATCGCTCCCTCACAAAGCGCGTCTCAAGTCGGCATCGTTCATTCGAATCCCTCTATGCATCTGAACTCGTTGCAATTACATACTACTACTACCCCTACTACTACTACTAGTGTTTCTAGTACCGATGCTACGGTTACACCTGGGGCCGACCATCATTTTCATTCTCATTCTCATTCTCATCCTAATCCTACGTTCCAATTGGGTCAACATGATTTGGATATGCCTGTTTTGTCTGTTCCTGTTACCGCTCCTCCTGCTACCACCACCACTTCTACTACCACTACTTCTACTGGTGGTGGTGGTGGTGGTACTGGCCTCCTTTCCCCCTTGGCCCCAGGTTCTCCGAACTTGACGATCCCGATGACGATACCTTTACCTTCTTCTTCTTCGTCGCCTTCTGGGTTGTCTGTGCATTCGGCTTTGCAACCCGTGTCTGGGTCTGGGACTGGAATTATAGGTCGGGAAGTTCGGATTCAAAGAAACGAGAGCGGAAGGATGTCTCGACATGTGTTGCCGCATAGGATTACGGAAGAGAGTTTGCGTGCTTTGGGTGTTGAAGAGCAGCAACAGCAGCAGCGGGAGTTGGATGAAGAGGAGGAGGAAGAGGAGGAAGAAGAAGGTGGGAGTTCGGTTGAGGAAGGGGAAGGGAGAGGTGGTTTGGGAGGGTTGGGAGGAGCAACAGGAGGAGGTGCTGGTGGTGGTGGAGGTGGTGGAGATAGAATGAGAGTGGTAGAGAATCCAAAGTTCGCTTCTTCCAAGGGAAAATCGAAATCTGTGTTGGCGTCGGCGTCGGATTCGAAAGGAGTTGGAAGTGGGACTGGGACCGGGAATGGGAACACTGGGAACGGGAGACCGAGAGCGAAATCGGAATCGGTCACTTCGTTTTCGCCTAGTATGAGCGCGAGTGGGAGTGGAGGTGGAAGTGGGCATTCGGGATCTGGATCTGGGTTCTTTGGGAGTTTGAGAGGGTTGTTTGGGGCTGGTAGGAGGAGAGAGAAGGATAGAGGCAGAGAGAGGGAGAAAGACAAAGACAGAGAAAGAGAAGGGGATACAGGTTCGATGCTTTCTGGTTCTTCGCAACTGTCTGGGTTGTTTGGACATGTGGGACATGGAAAGGAAGGGTCTTCGGAGACGTCGCAGGTCTCGCAAGGGTCGTCGTTGAGAGAGGAGAGGGAAGAGAAGAGTAGTAGAAAGAGGTTGTCTGGGATGGGGATAGGGAAAGGGAAAGGGAAAGGGAAGAAGAGATGGGAGACGAGGTTGGAGAGGAATTTGAAGGGATTGAGGGAGGAGGAGGAGCAAGAGGAGCAGGATGGTGGTGGAAGTGAGAATGAGAATGAGAGTGAGAATGAACGACAGGTTGGGGATGGTGAGGATGATGAGGCGACGTTGAGGGGCAGAAGAGGAGGAACGAGGACGAGGGTGATGAGCGATGTTGGGTATAGTGTTAGAACTAAAGATGATGAAGACGTTACGCCCAGAGCGTCGTTCTCTGGGTCGGTGACGCCGACACAACAGGATCTGACTGGGAGGATGGGGAACGTTAGGACGAAGAGGTTGAAGAAGAGGAGTTTGAGGGGGAAAGTGGTGGAGAGGGAATGGGAGAGAGCGGCTACTGGGACTGATTTGTCCACTGATAACGCTACTGGAACAGTGAGACCAAGACTAGGGTCGGCCCCTGGGATCAAAGCGACTTCTTCGGATTTGGGGATACCGACTACGAATGCGGCGGCTGTGTTTGATGTTGCTATCCCTAGAGCTGGAGATGGTGGTGGTGTTCCTTCATCTCCGACTGTCCCAGTGCCCACGTCTAATACTGCTACTGCTGATCCGATAGGTCAGTCGAGGCTTTTTAATGAACATCACAAATGGTGCTGACTGAATATGAAATTCTAGGATCGGGAACTGAAACATTACGAGGTCGTCAACCTTCGTCTCTTAGGCAAACAGCGACCAGGCAAGCGAGGCCCTTGAGTCGAGGCAACGATTTGGTTGACGAAGAAGTGGAGAGAGATTTAGAGATGAAAGCTAGGAGGAGGAGTTTGAGCGTTGATCATTTGGAGAAGTTGGGTTTGGAAGATGAGGAAGGAGAAGGAGAGGATGTGGTGGATTTGGGGGTTTGGGATCGGGATGATACGGAGAGGCAAGATGGGGAGGAGGAGGGTAAGGTGATAGAGAAGAAGAAAGGGAAGGGGAAGAAGACGGGGCATAGGAGGGCGAGTTCGGTAGGTGTCGCTGAGACTAGTGGTACTGGAGGATTGGGATCGGCGGTACCTGCATCAAAGTCGACTAGTCATTTACCGGCTTCCACCTCTTCTGCTATCCCTGTCGTCGTGTCGAGTAACAGTGCCACCAACTTGGCCCGATCTAACTCGGCCAAGTCCTCGAAATCCACCAAGGGCACCAAGTCCACTAAAGGCAAGAGTGTGACGAGAAGGAGCGTGTTGATGCCACCGGATTCGGGAGTGAAGACGATGTTACCTACTGGAGCTCCTTCAAGTGCTTCTGGGTCACCTACGACGCCTACGACATCAACAGGAAAACCGGTAGTCCCGGTCAAAGATACACCTCCGGCACCAGTGCCAGTGCCAGCGCCGCCACCTAAAGATCGGTTTGTGACTGGAACTGGAATGTTGAGTCCACTTGGATCTGAGGTGGGCACGACATTGCATTCTTCGTTTGGAGGTGTTGGGGCGCTTCATCATCATCATGATGGAGGATTGGAGAGTCGGACTCAGGGAGGGCTAGTAGGTGTACCGGTGTTATCGTCGTCTGGGTTGGGATCGGGATCGGGATCGACATCGACAACGTCTTTACCGATTTCGACGACGACGAAAGGGAAGACCAAGAGGGAGAAGAGGACGAGTGCGCCTCCTGGGTCTGTAGTAGTAGCGCCGAATTCGGAGTTGAATGGGAATACCGGTGCAGGTGCAGGTGTCAACGCGAGTGGTGGTACTGGTACGAGTTTGATGTCGATAGTGGAAGGCGTAGCAAAAACGAATAGGGAAGCTTGGGCTGCTCGGCAGAGTGGTTCTGGAAAGGGTATGGGGATGGTGGGGAGCGTTGGAGGTACGATGAAGC